CGGAAAAATCACATATTTTCATCGAGGGTCGGCAAATTACAGATCACATATCTCTGTAAACTAGCCTTTTCGTTCACCACTTAAGTGATTTCACTTTAATATCCTAATAATTAAATTTAAAGTCACGATTTCTAAATATTTTTATACAAATATATGTAATAGAGTATGTGTATACTCAATATGTATACATATGTCTTATCCAATAACGTTTACACATTAACAAAAAATATATCTATTAACAAACGCAATAATGTAATTTAATATCATAATAATTAATTTAAACTATCGATTTTTTAAATATTTTCTCTTTAATTACAAAATAACTCAATTCTTATGAAATAGTATAATAATGTACATATTTATTTATTTACTTTAATATCATAATAATGATCACCTTATGATGAGTTTCATCATCACCTCCCCTTCTATGTTGGGGTAAACCGCTGATTTACTGTTTTAATAACTACGTTAGTCAAGGAAGGGAACTCTCTATGGTCAAAAGCATACACGTCACATAGCTAAAGTTGGGTTTCGTGGGATTAATAGCCGCCGTCGCCGCTTGATTACACCTTTCACTTTTTTGCATTCAAATATTTTCATATAATTCTAAAATTATGTAATTTTTAAAATACCTCTAATTTTCTGTATAATATCAAGATATACTATATGATGTTCCTTCTACCTAGGTATACTATGCATATACCATGGTAACATATACCATGGTATAACGAAATGATATCTAGGAACGAGAAACATCGACCTTTCACCATATCCCCCCGGCCGTTTACACCGTCCGTCCACCTATGGCAGGGTAAACCTACATCATGTGGGTGGGAGGACTATGCCTTTCACCATATCCCCCCGGCCGTTTACACCGCCCGTCTACCTATGGCAGGGTAAACCCACAACATGTGGGTTAGGAGGGTATCCAGCTCATATATTAATGTTCTACTATTGACTTCATTTATTCAATATTGTTCAACCCCGAGATCAGTTCATTATTTTTGTCACAACGTTTGTGTGCATTTTTATTTATTTGATCATTACCCTCATGTATTTAAACTCCGTTTATTCACCCCTCTGAATTCTTCTTTATTCATATTATTATATTCTTTGCACCCTTACATATCTTGCCACATTTAAACATGTGTTACTCCGCCATTTACCTTCTTATTTAATAATTTTTATTATTATTNTTTTACCATCTTATTTAATAATTTTTATTACCATTCGTCCCCAATACCTACCGCCTATTTCATCACCTTCATCTTATCTTATAATTCTAAATTCTAATCATTTTAAGTTTTAAATTTTTCTTTTTTATTCTTTTTCTTTTTGGTTTATTACACAAATATATTGTAATAATTAACAATCAGTCATGATTTAATTACGCAATATGTAAGACAATATTTTTTTCTATTAAATAAATTTGATGGTATGAAAAAAATTGGGGTTGCCATTTGACATTTGAAATGGTAGTACAAAATTAAATTTTCGTTTAAATTGCTCAACAATGAATCGTTAATGTAAAAAAAAAAAATTATTAACAATAATAATTTCAAAGCTATTTTGTGAGGCATACTTAAGAAATCATTTTGTATGTATAAACTAAATATGTTAAATTCTGTACAACACGAATTTTAAATTTAGTTTACTCAAGGATATTTTTGAGTTATTGAATTTTTTTTATATCCTATACAGAGTGATTCATTTATCATAAATCATTAACTCAATTACATACAAAATAAAAATAATTATAGTTAATAAAAAACATTTTAGTCTTGTTTTTTTTTTAGAATCATGAATAATTGTCTACAAATTCGCGTGTTCTTGAACTCAACTTCGGTGAGTTCTATTGATGATGACTTTTCAAATAATTCTATTATTCCTTCTTACTTAGAAAATACAACTCAATCAACAATAAATTTAGAAAAAAATCCAGCATTTACCGTCTCTAAAATTACTGTTAAAAGAAAATTATTGAGTGATTCTGGTGATTATACTTTGTTTCTTCACGATGGGAAAAGTAGTGTATGGAAGAAATTTAATTGTTATGACAACATTTTTGTCGTATCTGCTTTAATTTAGTCTAGACAGAGTTTTTTTTATCTTATAGTCCAGTTCGGTTCGGTCTGGGAATTTTTTTTTATTTTATAGTCCGGTTCGGTTCGGTCCATTTAAAATTTCTATCTGGTCTGGTCCAATTAAAATTTCATATAACAGTTCAGTCCGGTCTTTTTTTTAGTTTTTCACTACGGTTCGGTCCGGTCCTTGAAAATTCGAACCATGCAGAGCTCTAGTGCATAGTGTACGGTCAGCTGATGATGACAGATATCGGACCGGTTGACAAGTGGAAGTTATCATATACAAAATTATTAAAATACTCTACACCTACTACAC